AAAAAGAAACAGCCGCTGCAGATGCACATCTAAAGTGGAGTCCTCCCAGTCACTTTTAACAGTAAAATAAGGTGACATTTTGTTTTTACTCTCAATTGGTTCAGTACCTGGGGTATATGTGTGTATAATGGGATAATAGCATATATTTATTCCCTCTTAACCCCACCACTTCTGAATAAGAATTCTGGCCATGGGGGTCTAGTAATTTACATTTAATAAAAACAACTCCCTAGGTAATTCATGTCACATTAAGTTGCGAGAACTGTTGATTATAGTCGGAAGGTCTGTTCTTGCTTTAACCAGATTTCAGGTTCACCTGTAGGACCCCTGGCACACAATGAACTCATGCAGTGTCTAAACTTGACTCATAAACCAGCAGAATTCAGCAGTGCTCTCCAGTTGGGTACTTCTGGAATACAGTAATGAATGCAGAGCCAGACTGCCTGGGTTCAAATCCTGGCCCCTCTGCTTACCAGCTGTGTGACCCTGGGCAAGTTGCTTCATCTCTCTATTATTGCATCTTCGTTCATTTGTAAAACAGAGTTAGTAAACAGTCCACACTTCAATGAATTCATTTTTCCCCTTAGGTACAAGGTCGTTTATGAAAATGAAGTTTTGGTCTATGCTTATTGACGCATTACTGCTAAAAGCGCCTATCAAACAGTGAAGTGTTCAGTGGTGGGTGCTCTTATCAGTATGCCCAGAACTCTCGGGACCTTACTGCAGCCCACCTGCCTGCACCTCCAGCCTCAACTGTCTCCTCCCTTCCTTAGCTGACATGGCTCCCACTTCGAGACTTTGGTTCAGCTTAATAATGATAGAGGGTTTGCTTTGTGTCGGGCACCAAACAAAAGACTTAGGAAGCAAAGACCGATAAAACACAGTTCTTGCCCTAGAGGCAATTAAAAGAGGAGACAGATAAACAATTACGAAGCAGCATGATACTTGCAATGACAGAACACCCTTAAGTCAGGGGAATAAGTGGGTGACACCTGCGTGGTGTTGTAAATCTCCCCTCCTGCCTTGCAGGCAGCTCCTCCTCTCCCATGCAGACCTCTAAACTCCC